TTGTTGTTGACATAACTAACAATTTCACACTATGAAACTCTATCTATCTATCTGACTCCCACATATATTTTGTATATCTTTTTTTAAAAAATTAACAACAATCTGTAAAATATGCAGACTTAACCTTACAGATAATACCATCTACCATAGTCAAGCAGAAGAAACACTATTTTGTTATGTAATGCATTCTAAAATGCACACCCCGAAAAGGACATTGGAAGCCACATGAATAATCTATTGGCTGATGCAAATTCTTTGTATGTAAAGATGCTGTGTCCACAGAACTAAATTTAGCAGAAATCATTTAAAGAAACAGGGTTCTTTTTTCCTGAGGTCCAAATCAAGGATAGTGTCATCTTGGAATGCATACCAAGTAACATGAATGAAGAGTACTAATTTCTACTGCTTATAATTTCTCTCCTTAGAAATCCAAAATATCAACATATGAGAAAATGTGGGCATTTATGAGCAGTAGGCAACTGACAGCTCTGGTGAAGAACAATGATATAGGCATCCAGCGGGTGCTCACTACTGATTATGCTCTGCTGATGGAATCAACCAGTATAGAATATGTCACTCAGAGAAACTGCAATCTCACCCAGATTGGTGGACTCATTGATTCCAAAGGTTATGGTGTAGGAACTCCCATTGGTAAGAAAAGTGATACATATAATTATTGGTAGCTAGATGATGGTAAGCACTTTGGAATACTTCATAATATAAAACATATTCTATTTAACATGGTGTCAAGAGTTTTGCTGCTTGAGAAGCAGGAAAAATTATATTATGTCCTATAAATAAATGCAGATAGTTCAGTGGTGGGATTCAAAAAAATTTACTACCGGTTCTCTGGGTGTAGCTAGGTGGGCATGGTGTAGCTTGGTAAGCATGGCTTGGTGGGTGTGGCAGGGGAAGAATACTGCAAAATCTCCATTCCCTCCCCACACTCCTGGGGGAAGGTTACTGCAAAATCCCATTCCCTCTCCACCCCACTAACCTGCTTTCCAGCTCTGTTCTCCTGTGTAGGACAACAAAAGAAGACCCAGCCAATCATCTGGGACTTGGGAGGCAGAAAATAGATGGGGGTGGGGCCAGTCAGAGGTGGTATTTGCCAGTTCTCCAAACTACTCAAAATTTTCGCTACCAGTTCTCCAGAACTGGTCAGAACCTGCTGAATACCACCTCTGAGATAGTTCACATACAGTATTATGCTACCTCCTGACTTGTTTTAATCAATTTATTCCAAAGAGTTTAAAACATCGTCACTGCAACTATTTATAATCACTAGTTCTTTAAAATCATTAAAATATATTTAATTTTTTTCTTTATTTTAAGAAAGAACAAGCACAGTATCAAGGTGTGCAACAATAACAGTGTTAAACTAAATAAACCATAAAACTAAAAATGATTTTTTAAAAAAGAAAAAAAATGTAAGAAAGAAAAACAAAAATTTATTTTGAACTTGTACCCACTGGTTTACAAGATGTGGCATATAACATTATAATCAAAATATTATTGTAAAATATAATAAAATCTACATATGCCAAACACCAACATATTGCTTCATCTTTTCAGTAGTAGAAAATAATGCCTTTTGAAGGACATATAAATCACATATTTCCAAATGCCAAATTTCAATATCTGGAGTTATATTTGGACAGATCACTTATCTAAATTCTCAGTGTATTTTTTTGTATCTCCAAGAAATAAAATGTTTTTTAAAAAATATTTTAATTAAAAAATAATAATAATAATAAAAAAAAAACTGTACAAACTAAATTCAGAAAGAAAAGAAACAATACAACATGCAATAAAAGAAAGGAAAAAAGAGGAAGAAGAAAAAAAAGAGAAAAAATATTTAAAGAAGTGAGTTTGATCTTCATCACAAGTAGAAACAAACTTAGTGATTCTTTATCGTCCCACCTACCCAATAAGGGCATATGCAAATATCTCTCCTTCCTATATCTTTTATGCTAATATTCTTTATTAATCTTTATAATAACTTTTATACTAATTTTAATCATTATAATTTCCAATAGAATAGAGTAGAATCGAATCGAACAGAACAGAACAGAACAGAACATTCTTTATTGGCCAAGTGTGATTGGACACACAAGGAATATGTCTCCAGTGCATAAACTTTCAGTGTACATACAAACAACAAAGTAATATAATAATAAGATACCAATAGTAGAAGGTAAAAGGAAAAATGAGAAGATTAATAGTAATACAGCCCTACTACATGGCTAAATATCTTTAGACATAAGACAGTGCTGCTGAAATTAGGTGTTCAACAAAGTAAAGTTGTTTTGGCATGCAATGCCTTATAGTAGCATCCTGAGGGGAGGAGCTGAAACAATTTATGTTCAGGATATTGGGGGGGTGGGGTTGTACTCTGTAGATATTTTCTCAGCTCTCCTTTTGGCTCATGCAGTATGCAGGTCCTGAATGGAAAGCTGGCTGGAAGGCACATTTTTTCCCCTGCAGTCCTAACTATCTTTGAAGTCTGTACCTGTCCTATTTGGTTGCTATAACAAACCAGCACTATAACAAAAATACAAATGACCGATTCAATGATATCCATGCACATCAATATTTCAATCATGGTGTCAGCAAAAACTCCTTAAAGGATTCCCACAGTGTTTTATAAAAACATATTTTATTTTAACTTTGGTCAAACAAACCAACTCTGCACTCCTTCCTTTTGCTTCTAACAAGCTTGATATTTAATTTATTCAGAAGTTGGCATACAATTTGAGCTCCCTTTCCTTTTTTCTGTTTTCGATTTCAAAGTCTTCTTCAAGGCTTTAGGAAAATCTTTTTTGTAAATCCACTAAGTAATCACTATCAAGATGAATAATGACTGTTGGCTTATCATTTGTATTTCCACTTTAATTGCCATCTCTGTGTTGTAATCCACTTTTTTTTTAGTTTTCCAACATCTCAACATCTCTTTTGTATCATAACATTTTTGCATTGGATGAGGTTTCTTTCAGTTCTTGATCCTGTAAAACTTTCAGAACATTCTCTTTCACATCTATCATTTCTTATTTAACATCTTTTGGAAATAAACTCTCAGGCCCCAGGAACTAAGAATAACTTATGGAATTATTTCTCAGCAGTTTCCTTTATTATTCCTCACCTGTAAACAGAAATATTGCCAACTACACCAACTACTTGTTTCACTATAGATATACACTAAGAATTGCTAGGGAGGAGCCTTCTTAACTCTCTTTCTCCCTTAGCTGAAACTTTGTCCTCAGGAATGCAGTCCCTCCCTCCTGGGAATCCAGACCACATTCCACCACATCAATTATCCATAGAAGCAGGCATCATTGCTGACATTGGAGATGCTAGTTTCTGTCCCCATAATTCAAATATCTCCTGAAACATTTCAAATGTCATATCATTTTTTGTCATTTTTGTTCCAATGTGACAAAAAACAAAAGACAAGCCTCTTTTTTAGTTTATGCCTGAATACGTAGTCCCCTCTAGTGTCCAAAATATGAAATCATAAAATCTCAAATTTGCCTTTATCTCAAACTTCTGTTTTTACTTAAGATGGACTAAATAATTTCATTCCCACAAAAGTACTATTTATTTATATGATTAAAATTCAAAATAATTATTGCCAAAATCTTTTATCAAAAATCCTAAAATTCCAAATTCATCTGATTGCTTAATTTTTTTTATAACTTTCTTAGTCTTATTCAGCTTCTTGCCATTTAATTCAAGGACTTTAAATTTTTAAACTTATAATTTTTCTTATGTTCTAGAATCTAGATGAAGGTAAACTCACCCAAATTGTCATTTTAAAGATCTCTATTAGCCTTAAAATAGTTACATGTAATTTCCGATTAGAAAGTAAGGTTAGCAAACCTTGAAAAGGCTCTTCTGTGGTTAAGAGCATGATGGTTCTCTTTTGTCGTCCAGTGCTCAAACCTGTAGAAAATGCCTATCCTGCAGTTGTTTTGAGAGAAACAGCCATCCAGAGTACCAGTGGATGATCTCCCATCCTCTCCTTAACCAGAGAGATTCTATTTACTGGTATTTTGGTCAGGACCATGAAGTCGTATCTGCTTATTCAGAGATGTATTACTTCACTATTCTTCAGCCAGTAGTCGAGTCCTCCAACAGAGAAAATCTGATGTTCTTGGTTTGAACCTATTTTTAGGGGAGTCTAATTTAATCTAAATATATATTTTTATTAATCAGTTTTAATCTCAAATCCATTAATACCATTTAAACTTTCTTAAGAACATGAAACCATTTATGGGGCATTAATGGCGATTCAAAAATTCATGTTTGATCTATTCTGGTACTACCCACTTTAAAAATATCTTCAAACTTTTAATAAAGATATGTTGAGAATATGTTCATTCATGGATCTCAGGTGCCTTTGAAGTGGCCAAAGCATCTGGCCCAAACTGAGCTATTAAAACTTGCTTAAGCTGGAAATATTGGCACTGTTGTGAACTACAAGACCAAATTCAAATATTTAAAGTAATAATTACACAGTAATTGATTTAAAGTCACCACCCCAGACTTTGCCAATATATGCACAATCTGTTTGTGAGAAAACATTTTTTAACCAGTCTCTCTGGAAAAGAAATAATTAATATTGTTTCTGTAAGATTCTTGGATAAAGATCAAATTCTGAAATATCTAACTGGCTACCTTATGTTTTACTTCTGCATAAAGTACCTTGGTAACTAGATTACAAATCTGTAATCACTATTCCAAATGGAAGCAGTTCAATACTATACTTATTCAATACTACAACCCTGAAGGATTTTACTGCTTGCAGCCATGAATCAGTGTTGAGTTGGCCGAATTTATAATCTAAATTAAAAACAAAAAAAATAAACAAAACAAAAAAGTGTGTGTAGGAAGATTGCACCTGTGTGACTGTTTTTAATATGGTCCTATATATCCTGACATATTCAATTTTATTTTACTCCTTTTCCTTTCCTTCAGGCTCTCCTTATAGAGACAAAATCACCATTGCCATTCTGCAATTACAAGAGGAAGGAAAGCTGCACATGATGAAGGAAAAGTGGTGGCGAGGCAATGGCTGCCCAGAGGAGGACAGTAAAGAAGCTAGTGCCCTCGGCGTGGAAAACATTGGGGGCATTTTCATAGTGCTTGCAGCAGGACTAGTTCTTTCTGTGTTTGTAGCTATTGGAGAATTTTTTTACAAATCAAGGAAAAATAGTGACATTGAACAGGTAAGTCCAGCTGAATTCAGTCTGGGAGGTACCTTCACCTAAAAGAATGGGATTCAACCAAGCACACAAAACTCACTTTTGCCTTATTATTGAGTTCCAGAAGAGCTGCCTTCTGCTGATCAGGCTTAAAGCCTTTTGTACTAAGAAGATAAGTGAAATAACCAATGATTAACCACTTGTGTCTTTTTATGAGCCACTCTGCCCAACAGCAGTCTTTTTACAATGATCAGTCCTATACAATAAGTTCCAGCTAGTGCTATGGGCACTTCTATAAGGCTATAACTATCAGCAAAGTCAGCGTGTCATTGCTTCATTATAATAATACTGTTAATCTCAATAAGGCCTTTCTGCCTAGTGCAATGAAAGAAATGCAGAGTTCATGCTTTTTATCTGCAGGAGAGCATACTTGGTAGTAATTAAGGGTCAGCTGAAAAGAAGTTACCGAATTTCAAGAGTCAAAGTGAGGATACGACTGGGGCATTTTTCAACCTCCACTGCTTAAATATTTTGGCATTATCTGTGTGAAGCAGAGACAGGGAAAGAAACGGTGGTATTTCAACAAAGGTTTCCACACCTTGCTATTGAACAAATGATCTTGCTAAGTAAAAAAGGATACAAGCATCATCCTTACCAATACTCCCCAAACCACTTCTGATGCAAGCAAAAGTATAATTTAAATAGATGACACACAAATGATGCTCCCAATGAGCAATTCCCTCTAACATTGGAGTTGCAACTTAAGTTGGAAGAGACATATCAGGGGACTGATCTGAAAATGTACAGTCTTCATTTGTTGTCCAGGTGATATGATGCTAGGAGGGTGAGGGTTGCAAAGAATGAAACCTCAACATCTTTGTTCATTGGAATGGTGGAATGGAAAAAGAACTCTATTTATGTGTGAGAGAATGCAGGGAATATATAATATATGTAACTTAATAAATAAATAATATAAAGGGTACTACAATCTATGATAATATGGGTCCCTGTGTGCATTTTTGCATGAAAATGAATTAGTATGCGTGAATGTAGCCCCTAATCATATAACAACCATGTTTGGCCAAACCATGCTAGAAAACACTATAATTTACAACAGGGTACATACTGTAATGTGCAGAATCTCTTTGCAAACCCTAAATCCAATTTGACTCTTTTTATTATTTTTGAGATGGAGAAGTTAAGAGGCAAACATTGCCTTAAAGTTTGCAAAAGATTAAGTATCCCTTAATCCTTCTCTTCCTCACCTCCAGGAAAAGTCATCCTGGTCCTGCCTTTTTGAAGTCCCTCAACATGCAAAGCCTGGGGTTGCCCTCAAATTTCTCCATATAAATACTTGTTATCATTGCAGTCATCTCTTATTTTTATGCTTACATGTTGAAATTGGTTTAGAGCTCTGCTACAAAATTATATGAGATACAACAATGTTACCCTCTTAATGGTCTAAAGCAGAGAGAGAGAGAGATCAACATTAAAGCAAAGTTGACTAAAATATTGTATATATGTATTCCTGAGAAAATGGATTGATTCTTGTCAGCCAATAAAATAAGAAAGTAAAAAATTCAAATTCTTTTCTTCAGTCAAGTTTTAATAAAAGATGAGAAATATAATTTTAATACTGTATATTAACATATTTGATATAATACAGTAAAATCTGCATATGTATCCTAGAGAATTTATATATTATTAGATACGTTTCAGTATACTGTTTTACAAGTTTTGGTGTCATTCTCTTTAAAATTTTGTTCAATTAGTTAATATTCTTATTTTTTCTTTTTCTTCCATCTTTTCCTTTCTGCATGCAACAAGGCCTTTTGTTTCTTTTATGGACAACAGTGTAAACAAACTCATCCATCCAACTCCACTTCTGGAACTACTTTATCTACAGAGTTAGACTGTGGCAAATTAATTCGGGAAGAACAAGGGATTCGAACACAACCCTCAATCCATACTGTATAGTTACCATAAAGGAAAGGTGTGTTTAGCTGAGAGCAAATTCTGACCACAACATACATTAAGGGGCAGAAACTCTGAGGTCAAAATAACTTATTTTTCCATGTACCCAAGAATGTTTGGGGTTGGTATTTCCAATAGAAGCCTAGCATGTGAAATAGCTTAGGAAGAATAAATAAAACAGGAAATCCTTCAGCCCATTTGAGAAAATGTAGGTAAATGTCTTAAAGAGTGCATACTATAGTACAACATTATGGATATAGTATGACAATAAGTTGTTTTCTTTTCCAGAATAACAGAACAGTGATGTTTGCAGGATTGAAATAAAGGAACAATTATAAAAAGAAATAAATATATCAGTTGTGACAATGTGATCAAAGTCCCTTCCTCTGTACTGATATAATTAGGTAAAATGGTGGGGCTTTTATTGCGCTGCAGGAGCCATCATCCTGTACTTCTGTGCAAATATAGTAGTTAGGTCTTGCATGGAAATGTCAAATCACTCCCCAAATGAAAAGTTCTGTGCAGAACAAGTGTGAGTGAACATGGCTATTCTGAAACTCTCTGAATTTAAAACAGCCAATAGCAATCAGATAGAATCCTCATCTGTAATGCAGTGCATGAGCCTTATCATTTATTTAACCATATGGAGAGAAATACAACTCTTGTTCCATTGCTCTAGTGGGAATGCTCCTTGGTGCTGGCCCTGCGTGACTTAGAGCAGTTCACAGTTACATATCTTGCTGCTTGCAGCTATATTTCCATTGGGATCAGTAACTACTATGGATTATTTTGTATGATTCATCTTTTTTCAGATATGAATAATTTGCCTTCATTTTACTTCCCAGATGGAATTAATTAAAATCATATTTTTCCTTTGGAGGCAATCTAAAAAACATTGTAACTTTATCTTTAGCAATAAGTTAATGAGAACTTTCTTTTCCAAACAGGAGCAGTTAACATTGACTGTTAATGGTCTCAGAGATATATGTAGTAATGGCGTGGGGAAAAATCATAGTTATCTAATCCAATATATTACACCGGTTGTAAGATAAGGAATAATTAAAATAAACTAGATGAGCTAAGAATTAATCCTATAACTAAAATACTCTATAGTGAATCATCTAACCAACTTTATTTTTATTCTGTAGTCCATTCTTTTGTTCTGCTTTAGTTCATTTTGCCAAAAGCCTACTGTTTCTGGGTTTGTGATAAGGCCTTCCAAACACAGTTTAAGATATCACCTCCCCTACAATCTAGCCAAGGAAACTTTTGAATCAGGCTTCAATGTGTAAGATCTTTAACAGAATGCCAGAGTGCATTAATAACTTGGTACTGTCTACAGTTTTCTTTTCTCTGAGCCAGGAGCTCAGCACTTGGAAATTGTTGTTTAAAAATCCAAAGTCACAGCTGTTAGGTAAGTAACTTTATGATGGCACAAGTAGTGATTGAGTATGTTGTGGCCAATGTATATGGTTTCTTGCTGTCTATAATGTGTTTTTCAAAATGTGTGTTTAGCAAAAGAACAAAGAACAGGAAGAATAGTCAAAACACATAAAAAGAACAAAATAAAAAATATTTTAAGAAAAAAGACTTTTCCGGACAAGTTGGCATTAAATCAAACTGAACCCCAACAGATAGCTTGTGTCTACTATAGCATTTTCCCAGTTTCTTCATGTTTTAGTAGTACTTTGTTTTAAACTAGGGATTCCCACTTTTCCACAGTGAGAATCATATCAGAAAAGGCAGCACTATGTGAGATTGTGTTGTAGTGGATAGTTGGGAAATCTTTGGCTCACTCACTTTCTAACTCCCAATAACGTGGTCTCAAGGCAAGAAATGAGGACTGGGTACAGGGCGCCACAATAGGCAGGATAAGTGGATTGTATACAAGAATACAATATATCTTGTAAATTTATTTTTTAAAGTGGAAAGGGATTTTATCTTGTGACACAAAATGATTGGGGTAGGGCAGAAGTCCTCATTGCCTCAGGGCCTGATTGGCTATCAATCGTTGGGGACATGCAGTACATTTGCAAAAAAGTAAACATGCCCATTCCAGCAGCATTGTAAATAGGATGCTTAACTTGTAAAATCAACTCAACTTTTGCTTGGTTTTCATTGTGAAATTAAGTGATAGGAAGCCCTCAAACTTTCAGTCAGAATCATTTTAGGTACAAAACTGATCAGATATAAACTTTAGATCAGTGGTGGGATTCAATTTTTTTTACTACCGGTTCTGTGGGCATGGCTTGGTGGGTGTGGCAGGGGAAGGATACTGTAAAAACTCCAGTCAGAAAAACTCCAGTCGGTTCTCTGAACTACTCAAAATTTCCACTACCAGTTCTCCAGAATTGGTCAGAACATGCTGAAAAGCACCTCTGCTTTAGATCCTCATTTTTGTGTAAATTTGAATGTAATAACTTAAGGTAGTTCAGATTATAATTAAGGCCCTTGATTTGTTAATATGTTTATATGAAATAACATCCCCAAAGTGATTGCTATTGTTTTAGTCTTCACATTCAGCCATTTAATTATTTTTTATTCTCTGTGTGCCATTTTTCCTTTTATCTAAATTGATATCTCAAAGTTAAATTATGCTTAATATTTTTACAATGAGTTTCTGCACTGGTTTCATGCTTAACTATTCTGAATACAACTATTATTCAAGTAAATGAAGATGTATAGTTAAGCCATAATCTTCTTTTACATTTAAAAAAATATTTTCTATAAATAAAAATATGAAGAATAATTTTTGCATGGTTTTATACCTATAACCTGTCAATCTGACCATTAGATCACTATACTCATTTATTGCATATTTCTGTCAGCCTTTCCAACTTCCAACTTTTGTGTCTTCAGATGTATCAGACCACAATTTTCATTTCTCAAGAAAGCACAGGTATTAGCACAAGTGGTTTTTCCTTGTTGTTTTCATTTCCTTGATATGAATATTTTGAAGGCCCTATGTTTTATCTTATTATGTGTTAAGAATATTTTGTCTTACTGTTTGATGGTAATAGATTTCTGGTCTTTACATTAGTTGATAATGTTCTTGAGAGGGTGACCTTATCAAGAATAATGACATTTTTTATAAAAAAAAACTTCATGCAGGTTTCTACTTTCGCAGACATTGACTTCTACACAGAACTTATAACAGAAACAGGGAAAAATGGCTTGCTGCTCTGACAGGCAGCAATTCTCCAGAGTGTTCTTTTATTCTACTTTCAGCTGCTAGGAGTTGAATTTGAGACTTACTGAATGCAAAGTATGTTGAGTTCTATAGAGTAAATGTGTTCAAGAGAACACATTTACTCTGTAGAACTCAACATACTTTGCATGAGAATCATCTATTCATATATATATGAATGACCTGCCTACTTGCTGTAATAATACACCTGCCTACTTGCTGTAAAATTGCATTTTTTTTCCTACTCTAATCCTCAAAAACAGCCATACTTCAGGTGTTTTTGGAACAACAAAAGTCATTTCCAATAAAACAGATGGAAGAGGGGAAAGACAAGTTTACTATTGGCTATGAACAACCTTGTCACTTGGCCTATTTAATTACAATTTTTTCTGTTTCCTTCTTACAGTATATTCTTTTTTTTTATAAGACAGTAATTGATCAGGACTCTGATCTTTAAAAAGTGGTGTTCTACAGTTCTACAGTTTAAAGACTATCACTATAGTCAACATATGATTTTGATTATTTACAGCTATTCCTCTTGTTAAGATACAGATATATCTCAAAATTGCTCTTTAAAATGAGTGCAATTTGAAACTGACTCCTAATTTGTTTACCGAAGAAACAAGAATCTGGCTTGCAGTATAAATGACACAGATTTAAATGAAGAAAACAAAACCTTCTTTCCACACTGCTAAAATTCTGTTGCTGGGTCTTAAGTACTCTTATCTTTATATAGTTAATTTTTTTTTCTTTTTCTCATGGCTATACTGCCACGAGAAAAACAATTTTTACAATTTATATTGATTTTTTTTTTTTACTATACATTCTGAGGTCTATTAATCATAGTACACCTCATACAGGGTGGAAAAATCATAGCTAAGTTAAGAGCTATTGAAGGCTGAAGAAAGAACTGATTATATTTTCTGGTCCAAAAGTTAATAATATATAATCAATCAAATAGTTATCAGGTATCAGAGTTTTCTGCAACCCATCAAAATGATTATTTTTATTTAAGAGGAGGTTATTTTATTGATATCAGTGACCAAATTAATCAACATTAGATTCATAATTACTTCCACCAGATATGACAGTCACGCTTACAGCTAGGTTTAAATTCTATTAAATACATGGTAGAAATCTGTTGTTAACCCCAATAAATTTTTCTCTCCTATCTTTTATCAGTGTCTTTCTTTTAATGCCATAATGGAGGAACTTGGAATTTCACTCAAACATCAGAAGAAATTAAAGAAAAGATCAAGAACTAAAGGGCGTACATCTTTCACAAATATCCTTACTTGTCATCAGAGACGGACACTTAGAAAAGAAACCATGGCTTGAATAAATGCAATTTTCCCTGTAGGAAATATCAGGATAAAAGGCAAAAACAAACTTTGATGCCTACTTATGAAAAGACAACTAGTTTATTTCACAATCTGATTTTCTTCTTTTTAATCCAGAGGAAATACAACAGATTCAGTCTTCACATATCACTCATAGACTACTAATCACCCCAAAGCATTTCATTCTTACTTTTGGAATAATATCACCTATTTTGGATCCCTTTGCTCTTCCCTATTCTTTGCTGTACATGCTTTATAAATAAATAAAAAAAGATTTTTGGGGACTGGAGTATCAATTTCTTCATATCAGAAATCATCAAATATTTATTTCAGTTATATGAAACTTTCTTCACAAACAAGTATGTCTACATACCAACCTAGCTTCATTAGCAATCATTTTTATACATTCTGGTGGTACCTTAAATTAGATTAGTTCAGTGATTCCAAAACTTGTTATTATTATGGTTGGTTCCTCAGGCACGCAGTTGTTTAGAGTTGATTTAGCATTTTTATTCACCTATTGAGTTCTTCTCAAGGCTGGGATAGGCTTTAATTATTGTTGTATTATTTATATTTTTTAGGGCTTTCCATCCTAGCAGACTCCGGATAGTTTACAAAAATAGTAAAAATAGTTAAAATCACAAAATACACAGGCAACCCAAACTAAAGCAACCATAAAACTATACAACAGGCACTCCACAAACCCCAGGCCTTGGCCGAGAGCCAGGTCTTACAAGCTTTCCAGAATCCCAAGAGAGAGATTGCGGTCTGTATGTCTGGGGGAATGCTGTTCCAGTCCTGCAAGATGACAGCATTTGATAGACAACAGGCAGAAACAATTGGACAAACCAGATACCAGGTTTTATATCATGGATACTAATAATATTCCCAGCAATTCTGGGTGGCTTACAGGTATCTGTAATCCTTGAATTGCATCTGGAAACTGACTGGCAACTAATTCAGCTTCCATAACATCAGTGACACATGGAAATAACCAGGGGTGGGATTCAATTTTTTTAACAACCGGTTCTGTGGGTGTGGTTTAGTTGGTGGGTATGGCTTGGTGGTCATGTGACTGGCTGGGCGTAGCCAACTCAATATCACTCACATCTAGGCACGCCTGGCCTCACCTGGCCTCTCATGATTGTGGGGATGCTGCAACAATCATAAGTATGAAAAATGGTCGTAAGTCACTTTTTTCAGTGCCATTGTAACTTTGAATGGTCACTCTACACAAGCAAAGTACCAGCAAAGGAGGAAAAAAAAACCTCCAGAGAAGTTCCAGAGACAGGAAGTCTAGTCCTGCCAAGAATGTAATAAGGGTTAATGGAGAGGCAGTTTCTGTAAGCAACACCAGAATGTTTCCTTCCTGTCTTCCTTACAGAATTAGGCCAGTAATTTCTTGTAACAACTGATTCTCTGAACTGCTTAGAATGTTAACAACTGGTTCTAGTGAATAGGTGCGAACCTGTAGAATCCCATCCCTGGACATAACCAAAAGTCCCATTACCTCTCACACTATTGCATTTTGAACCAGCTGTAGCCTCTTGATGTTCTCCAAGACCAGCCCATATAAAATGCAGTGCAATAATCAAATAATTCCCTTGTAGAAAGCATAATCCAATCTGTGAGGTGATCACAGCCTAAGTAACCACTTTAGAGGCCTTCCAGTCGAGGAAAGTGTAATTGGTAAGATGAACCTGTGCAGAGAGTATCTTATCACAGCTGCCACCTACTCTTCAAGCAGCAAATCCAGGAAGACCATCAGGTGTGGTTTCATGTCGATGTTAAACAGAGGTGATGAGAATATTGAGCCCTGAGACATCCCACAAGTGTAGGGATGCCAATGCAATTTTTCCCTGTCAACACTGATGACACTAGCCACTTAGAAAGGAGATAAATGACTGCAACAGAACGCCTCACATTTCCAATCCCTGCAGCCAGTACAGGAGGGGGATTTGGTCAATGGTATCCAAAGTTGGTGAGAGATCAAGGAATTTAAAGATGGATGCACCTTATATACCTACAGCAAAGGATATAAACAAGCATGACTAACGCTGTACTATAGCCCACTGTGAAATCCAGATGAAACAGAAAATCAATTTCCTCCAAGATCCTCTGCAATTTCTATCTAATCACGTACTCTACAATCTTCCTCACAAATTGTTGATATTTGTTCAGAATGGAGGGTCAGTTCCATTCCCTAAATGAATGACTTTGGTCACTTGATGTTTGCTTAGTCCACAGATGAGAGTAGATGCAAAATATGACAGCAGGTCCATCAATATTCATTAATGATTGTTATATAGAAAATATTGTTATATTTTCTATAATACAGGAAAGCAATTTCTTGATTTTTTTAAAAATGTGTAAAACAGCAAACTAATTACTGAATTTGATCAGACAAAATTAGTGATGTCTGTTTATCAAGGCAATTTAGAAGGAATGCAGATATATTAATAACAAGTATTTGTTGGGAACTTTATGGCACAAAAGATATACTTTTAGGGGAGTTCAAATATTTTTGCACTGACAAATTATTCATCCAGTGATTTCAAGAAAATGAAGACTAAGTAAATATAACAAAATTGTGCCAGAAAGACAGGTATTAATAGAAACTGATACAGTTTTTGAACTTAAATTACTTTCTGTAAGCACTGTAGATTTCTGCAGAACTATCTGAAAAGGATCTTCTACTCTGACATAATCATCTCTATTTCAAACAATAAATATTCATACAGAAATACAAATTGCACTTCCCCTTCTTTGCCATACTGATTGTATGTAACTAATAAAATGTATGGAATCCACTGATAGGGAAACAGCAAAGCATCCTATATTTGGTAAATTTTTCAATATAATATTGACAAAATATTTATTCTAGGACATTTTTACTACTCTTCTAAAAGCATCTTCATTCTCCCAAATGGAAAATTTGCCCAATTGGAGCTGATGAACAATCATGAGTTCCATTTAATTCATAAAATGAATAAAGGGAACAGAAGCCTTCTATCTTGGGCACCTTGCACATGTAAAAAATTAAATGGAATATTGTTCCCTATTGGACAAAGGTAAGTCAAACCTGGAAGTTTCGTTCCTGATAGAATCTGGAAACTATTTTTTAATTCCTATTAATTTATGTATGTTAATGTATGTTTGCCATATTATTCTCATATTATTATAACCAAAGTTTTCCTTGGGAAGTAGTTTGTTTTATTGCTATCATAATTACACTGATCCAAACTGAAGGGTTTTTTTTTCTTTAAGTATAAATCCCTACCTTTTTTTTAATCTCATGATCACCCCTTTCTAGCACGTTCAATGAATCATATACTCAACAATTATTTATTTTCTACTTGCAAATCCCAGGTACAGTATACAATCTAGAAAGGCAAGAATTTTGCTTAAAATATATATCCAAGCAATATACGTGAGCTATGTATGCTAGTGAAAGTGATTATTTTGGGCAGAGAACTCTGATCTTTATTTTTAGCATTCTGTCTCCTATACGTGCATCACATGGAACAATATGTCCATTAATATGCTTTATAATCAGTTGATTTTGATGGCAGAAGCATTTTGCAATTCATGGCACATTACTATTTTCAGACATTTTATTTCAAGAAAAATACATCCACTGTCCCCAGATTAATGCACTTGAATGACATGTATTAGTTGAGTACTAAAAATCACAGAGGACTGATTAAGCCTATTCATAGGATGCTGAAGACTATGCTCTTGTAATGCATTATGCACATTAGTACATGATTGAATAAAAACAGATAATACTGTTAATCATCCACTCCACCTGAACATTCAAGATATCTGTTATACTGTCCTATTATTCCTTCTTACCTCATGGGCATGAACTATGCACATCTATGCTGATACATGCTAATTTTATGCATACTGACTTTTCTGGATCGGTGATTCAGCTAGCTCTGTATCTTTCAGCATACAAAATCCTTATCCTTGCAGAGAACAAACAGCGGGGTTTAAAGATAACTGAACATCCACAGTTGTTGTTTTCCTAGAAATATCCAGGAATACACAAATATGTAAACCATCTATTCTATATGGGTTACTTTTTTTTCAAGTTTAAGTTAATTCTGTTCTGTTTCTTGATCAGTCTGAGTTTTTTCACAGTGCGTACAAATGTTTCTTCTAATATATACACAGAGAGGAAGAGAGATAAATTTATTTTGTTTATTACAAAGCATGATTACCAATGATAATTGGGTTTTAGTCTGCAAAGTAGGTCAGTTGGCATTTTTAAAAAAACTCATAATTGATGGATGCTGGTATTTTTTTAAAAATCCTCCAATTTCTATTACAAACTTTCTAAGCTAATAGCTGCATTACATCTTGTGACTTTGAATTGTGCACAGAAGTTTTTTTTTCTTTCTCTGCTGAACTGATTATGAATAGATTTCATTTCAAAGCCTATAGCAATATTATTAAAAAGTAATATTCAGTTTGTAAATATATTGTTCGTACTTTTCTTTATCTTTTACACTATACATTTTGAGATGAAAGAGGTAAAGGTACATACAACATTCCAGAAACACTGTAGATTTAGATTTAAAAATGATGCATATATGTTTACTTTCAATTGCTTTTCCAATAATTACCAGCAATGAACTGGCACTCTTTTCTGTTGCTATCTAATAAATTAGTATGTTGCTGAATTTTCACAATATGATGGCAAGATTTGGTTTCAGAAAGTCAGTTTATATTTCATAAGTATACAGATAAAGATACACTGATTTATATCTTTATATCTTGCAAAAAAGGATCATATTTTGGTCTTATCTGGAATCTTCCTGTTTTCCATATTATAAATTATAAAGTAATTTGGGTATAAGTTCTACAGCAGCCATTTCAATAGATGTGTTTGTTTATTTATTTATTTATGTCAATTGCTTACAAGATAATAGGTATAGGTAAAACATAGTTATGAATACATGGATACATATAAGAAAAAAAATAAAAGAAACAATAGGATAGGGACGGTAGGCGCGTTGGTGCGCTTATGCATGCCCCCTACAGACCTCTTAGGAAAGGGGTGAGGTCAATAGTAGACAATCTAAGGTTAAAGTTTTTGGGGTTTGGGGAGGAAACCACAGAGTCAGGTAGAGTATTCCAGACATTGACCACTCTGTTGCTGAAGTCGTATTTCCTGCAATCAAGTTTGGTGCGATTAACCTTG